GTTTTATTGGTGATCGACATTTTAATCCTTTACAATCATGTTTTAAATGTTGGACCGAAAATGATGCAATTGATTATACATCAATTCATGCATTTGAAATTTTATATATAAAATTTAGTGAATTTTCAGGACATGATATAGGATATCCAATAAATAAAAGAGCACGTTGTAAACATGAAGCCAATAATAACATTGATTCAATAAATCAATGGAGTTATCATCAACAAAAGAATTCATCTTTTTGGAAACAACGACCATGTGTTTTATTATATGAATTTTGTCGATTACATTCTTTACCTGTTCCAACTTATACTTTAAAAATTAATCGAGAATTAGGAAGATTTTGGTTTGATTGTTCAATTGGTAATGAAAGATATTTTTCACCTCAAAATAATCCATGTATGTGTTGTTGGATTCAAAATGAAGCAATTGATCATATATCAATTCAAGCATTTGAAGAAATATTTAGAGAAATGTGTGATCGAGATATTCAAGTTTTAAGTTATCCATCACAAAAGCGAGTAGAATGTACACATGTTCAACCTACACCTAAATACGATTTTAGAGAAAGTTCAAGGAATCAAAATTTAAATTATGATAATAATCGTGTACAAGCTGAATCATCAAGATCATCCAGTAGAATAAGAGATATAAAAGATGTAAGAGATGTAAGAGATATGAAAGACATGAGAGATGATGTAAGAGACATGAGAGATGTAAGAGATATAAGAGATATAAGAGATATAAGAGATGTAAAAGATATGAAAGATGTAAGAGATGAAAGAAGTTGTGATCTTACTAATAAAATATCTAAAGAAAGCAACCGTGAAAAGAGTGATGGATTGAACATAATAAGTAATTAGATATTTCTTATTATTATATTCAAAAGAATGCCAACGTGGAAGGAGAGTTAATTGGATATTTATTATATCTAAAGATATTCTGGAAGTGATAATAATAATAATGATTAAAATAACATGAATTTATCATCATATTTAACTGTGAAAAAAAAATGTAAATTTTTTATTGATTTTTATTGTAATTATTTAATTCAATTTTAATTCAATTCGATTGTATACGTTTTATATAAAAAAATTACTTTCATAAAAATCAATAAAATAAAATAAAATTAAATAATTTTACGTGTCGAAATTTATTAATTTAAAATTTATATCAGTGAGCTTTAGTAATTTTCAATTTACATTTGTATTTAATTTATAAAATTGCGTAACATTACGCCCTCGAAGTATATATGATATGTAGATATTATATATATGTTAACCCTAGGAAAATTCCTTATGACAAACGCCACAAGTAAAAAAACCTCGAGTTTTCCTTACAATTTCTCGACGATATGATTGACAGTTTATTTGTTCTAAGTCCCTCAGGGTAATTAACAATAATAATTTTGAGTTCATTATTCATTATTCATTATTTGAATTTTACAAAATTTTTAACTAAACAATTTCTTATTTTTTATATATATAGAAAAATAATTATTGAGAAACATTGGCGTGGTCTTATTAATCGTCAGTTAGTAGATTATTTCAATGAACAAGTTTCAAGCCAACTTTCACACGAGGAAGTTTTACCAATCATATCAACACCAAAATATCAGTTAGTACATGTTTATCGTTCAGGCTTAACATT